TCAATTACACTGAAAAACAAATCCATAATATTTAATAGAGATTATTGATTGTTGTGTGTGTTTGACCATGCAACCAGTTAATCATCCGAGAAAAAATAAAAATAAAAAAAATGAGCGTGTGGGTGTTTCTTTAACTTCAGGCACTTTTATGCTCCTACAGAGTTTAACTTTTTGTTTATATGAAAGTTACATTAAAAGTGTCTTGAAATTTCATAATTTGTTTCAGCTTTTATTTAAATGCTTCACATCTGTACCATTTTGTTTTATTCTTGTTCTAAGACTTGCAATTTTAAACTATGAAATCCATTACTAAATATAAATCATAGAACTATAATGACCTAAACAGGGAGTGAAATAAAAAAAGAACCATTTCAACAATTATTGTGTAAGTAAATATCACTTACAGAATATTTTTTAGTGTGCATCATTTCCAATCAAGCAAGTAATTTAGCCAAATATTCAAAAAGTCTCAAAATATTATTGTGTGTATTCACAAATGCTAGATGTGTTGAAAATTACATTGCAGTGAAAATATAGGTCACACTTTATTTTAAAGTCCAATTCTCGCTATTAACAAACCATTTAACTATGACTTTTGACTCAAACTCCTAATTTGCTGCTTATTAATAGTTAGTAAGGTGGTTGTTAAGTTTAGGTATTGGGTAAAATTAGGGATGTAGAATATGGTCATGCAGAATATGTGCTTTTTAAGTACTAATAAACAGCCAATATGTTAATAATAGGCATGCAAATAAGCAACAAGTTATCCCTATACTAAAGTATTACCAAAATACACACTGTTGGACATATTAAATAAAAAACTGAGTGTCAAAAGTGTATTTCTAAACATCCACATATTCGAATATGCCCATATCTGTGTAATGTGTAACAGTAAAAACAGAGGAATGACAGCATAGAATGAAAATCCTGTGACAGTACTCTTGAGAAGACACATGTGGTGCTCTGCTAATGCCTCCTACAACAGCTTAATGCATCTGTCCTCTTTCCCTCTCCCACACACACACACACACAGATAGTTATATATGGCCTGCCTCCACTGAACATCTTTACCTTATTAAAAATAAAGCACTATACAGCCACTGTCTCATTAAACTTACATAAACACTCAACAATGCCACTCAGTCATTAGAAACACACAGCCGCACACTCTGTCTTCCTTCTTATGCACAAAAAAACACGTAGCTTAAACACTCTCTCTTTCTTTGTCTGGGTGACTGATGGCTGCTTAACTAAAGTGAACAGGAGGGTTTCGAGCAGATGTCCCAAATTATAAACAGGGACATATGGAAATATGGCCACGGTACCAGTAAAGAGCATGTGTGCGCATATGCGTGATCAGATGACCATGTAATCATTCTAGCAATAAAGTTCTGGTCAAATGAGTGTGTGCCTTAGATCTATGACTATCAACTATGCAGTAAGGAAACTTGTGTTTATGGTAAACAGTCAGTCTGCCAGTCAATCATATGTACAATATATGGGTGTTTCTGCAACTACGGGCACTTTTGACTATCCAAAATGTAAAAAAATCAACCCCTGTGAATTTTAATTTTAACCATCAGAGTCTGTAATACATATAAAAAGGTCAACAAAATTGCATTAAGATTTTAATCTGGAACATGTTTATTTTTTATGTTTTTCAACTCTTCTTTTTACAAAATGTCCTTACCCGCAAAGTTACAGTAAGGTTCACTATATACATTTTTCTTTTTTAATTTATATAAAAATGTAATATATTTCAATAGCTTTTTCAAATTTTGTGCAGTTTTGTAAATACTGATATAAAAAAATAATATACAAAATAGGGGATTTCATTGTTTTCTCTATGCCATGTAAAATTTAGACAGTAACCTTAGATGTCAATTGTTTCCATACACAGTAAAGATAACATATTTAGTTTTTTATGAGCGATGTTGCAATTTCAATGTGTAAATCATTGAACCCCTGATGTCACATGGACTAATTTACCGATGTCCTTGCTACGTTTCTGTGCATTGATCATGGTAATATCCTTGCTGTCTATGGAGGGTCAGAGAGCACTCAGATTTCATCAAAAATATCATCAGTAATCATCAGATGGGGATAGTGGTGGTGGTGGTGTGTCTGTTGCAACAAACTGATTTGAGGCATGCAGTA